TCCTATAAATAAACAAACCTCCACCTCCTCCCACTAGGTGTAAAGATAATGAAATTACAACATCAAGGTCCACAACATTTTAGTTGCTACCCTTCTAAGCCCTGCTGTGAATAAGTCAGCTCCTGGAATTTTCCTGAGTATCCAGCCTCAGCTGCCCCACATCACTAATAGAGCCTCAACTGGCAAAAGATTTCACATGGTAGCCAGGAATTTTTCTTTTAACAGTAACAGCAGGGTCTCTGATGGGATTCTGGAGCACTAGTTTCAAGGCTCCCAGACACTTTAGAGCTTCCTTACCAGCAGTCATGACCCATTTGAAGTCCACAGTGGGTGTAGCTCCCTGGAGGTGGTCAGCCTTCATGAAGGCAATACCCCTCTTGACCTTGCAGCCAATAAATTTCCAGGAACCTGCTTTCCAGTGCTTGCCCTGTACTGCAAAGGATTTTGCATGTTGATATATACTTCTGGGTGTTCTTGCTGTGCTCTGCTGGGGTCTATTAATGACTGTGGAGCAGGAGGCACTTGCATGGATGCCCATTTACTCCTGGGTCTGATGAACTTCCTGGGCCACCACCACCCAGTCGTGCCTGGATCTGCTCTTCACTGTCGCCTTCTTCCCTGCACTGCCTGAGCTCAGAGTCCCCTCAGTTCCCCACACTCACATTCCTCTTTCCTGATGGCCTTGGTGGGCACCAGGAAACATACCCTCTGTTAGCTCATGGGCTCCTGCCAGACCCCACTCTGCACAGGTCAACATGGTGTATGCTGCACGATTGGCATCTCCTCCTGCTATGGAGTCTTGGTACACTGGGCCCCAGGGTCAACCTGGTGTGTGCCACAGGGTGGACAATTCCCCCTGTCCTGTGGAACCCTGGTATACTCTGCCCACACCCTGGGTACCCTGCCAGTAGGAGAGAGGGCGTCCAGCAGAGAACTTGGGTTCTGATCTGCTGTGATAGTGTGATTTAAGGACCTCCGTTGACCTGTCCTGTGCCCACCCAGGGGAAGACTGCAGGGCTCCATGGATGTATTATGCTCCCTGGAACATGCCCCCATTTAGAACTGTGTTTGTGTCATCTGTGACTGGCTGTGATTTATACTTTGTTTTTACTTGTAGTCTGAGGTAAACACAAATTTCATTCAGCTGTGAGTTGACCAAATGGGACAACGGGTTGGAACAGATTTTTTTTTTTTCTTGGAGAGCATATTTCTTGATATTGTAAGTGCTGCTGAAATGAAGACTTCATGATTTGGAGGGAATATAAGAAAAGCGAAGCAAGTGAAAACATTGTGACATGGGCTTCTGGAAAGGTACTTTCAGCTGATTCAATGGATAAAAATGAAATTGGACCATTGATCTCAATTTGATGTATTTTTACATAAGAAAAAATATCTTTCCATTGTTGAAACAAATTCACGATGGTTAAGGCTGGAAATCATAATGTAGAGCTTATGTTTTATTGCATTAGGATTTAACTGTTATTAGATAACAGTATTCTCTGTTATGTGATGTTTTGAACTTTCTCACCTTCCCCTATTCAAGCAACCTCCCTCAAATACCTCTCCACAGGGAAGCAGCTCCCTGTGACCCCAGAGCATTTGTAACCCAGGATCATGCTCAGTACATTTGATAGTCTACCTGGCAGCACCCAACATACTTACTCTCTGAGGTTCTATGACATCTCTGCTCCCAGGACCCAAGGTCTCCTCAATAATCATAGTCTTGTCTGCTGTGGTGGTGTACGCCTGTAATCCCAGCCACTTGGGAGGCTGTGGCAGGCAGATTGCAATTTGGAGGCCAGTCTCAGCAACTTAGTGAGGCTCTGAGCAACTCAGCAAAACCTTGTCTCTATGTAAGATATGAAAAAGGCTGGGCGTGTGACCCAGTGGTTTAGCACACTGAGTTGAATCTCTAATACCCCAAAACACAAAGAAATTAATTGTATTAAATAAAAATGAAGTGGAAACAACCCATACAATGCACTGGGCTGTTAATCTAGGATGTTCGCAGGTGAGATTTGTGAAATGCATTTTGAATGTACTGTATTTGGGGTTTCTGGATGTAACCCCATCTGTAAGTCCAGCGCCTATGGAAATGTGAATATTCAAATTTCCAAATTAAAACAAAGTCCTCTTCTCCACCTCCAGCACCCTCTTGTGATTCCAACTCTGAGTTGAGAGGGGTAAGCCTCCTGCATGCATTTGCAATCAATACTTACTCCCCAAGGATTTAGGGGAGCCTGGCAATACAGGAAGCTCTAGTTTTTTTTTGGTAAAAATACAGAACTGATTTGGAATAATGAAAACAGATTATCTGTCACAGCAGAAGAACCAGGGTCCTGCTGAGAGCACCATCACACAGGTCTCCCGTAAGAAGATTCTTGGCCTCCGGTCCCCTTGGCTTAGTATGCACATACCCCAAGCCCTGAGTGCATCCATGGAGCCTGGAGTCCAGCACCCTACAGATTCCAAAGGCGGAGCCTGGTGGAGCTGAACACTCACTGATTCTCTGAGGCGGGTTATGCTATCCCAAGATTCTTGGTGATGAGAAACTGATGTGACTTCATTTTTTAAAAAAAAACAGCCTCTACTTCAGAGCAGGACCTGTCCAAGGGAGGGGTGACTCTTGATCTTGGAAAATCCACAGAGCATTCCTAGGCATGGAGCGAGCTCTGTGCTGAGTTGTTTGTCTATAAATAACAGGAGAGATCTGCAGTGCCTGGTGTCTCTGACTCAGCAATGCTACTTCCTGGAAAGTCCAAACCCTCTTTGTGGCCTACACCTTGACCCTGAAACCCATAGCAACCGACTAGCAACTACCAATCAGCAGAAGACAGGGGAATATAACTGGAATGCCAGGTGACCCCCCTCCCCCAGTAGTCTCAGTGCTCCATAGCATGTAAGGAAACCATGTAGTTTGGCACAGCACACTCTTGCAACTCATCTTGGCCCCACCTCTTGAACTCACCAATCCCCCCTACCCAACTTGTTCCCGCCAGGGAATGTGCTCATCAATGTTAAAGGTGGTTGTTTGATTTTCCCATGGTGTGAAAGTCTTTGTGTGTGATGTTGAGACATGTAGAGTGTCTCCCCCCAAACCTATAAAATCTCAACAAAAAGTCAGGACTCACTTCCCGTGACTGCTGTCCTGAGAACGGTTGTGAGTCCAGGCTCGAGCTTGCAGTAAAGACTCCTGTGTGATTGCATCAGATTGGGCTCCTGGAGGTCTATGGGGTCCCAGGAATCTGGTATAATAGTGGGAATATAAAAAGGACCCCCCCCACTGTACTCAGGCCCCACCTTGTTAGAAGTCTCCAGAAGCCGCAAACTCACTGGGCAGCCAGATAGGAGAACCTGTCCCCAAGGGCACCGCCCAGGCCAGAGTTTGCAGGTTAATTGGAATTAGCCACCAGGGCAGGCGGGATCTGGGTGGAGATGCCAGCAGAGGTTGGGGTGGATTGTGAACCCTGGTCCGGGGACAAGATCCTGCAGCAGCTCCATCCGCAGCCTTGGGATCCCCAGAGCAAAGGGGCGCTCGGCAACTCAGGCCCCACTCAGGCCCAGGGAGGGGTCCAGCGACGGCCCCTGGGGATAAAGCTATGGTGTCCTGAGACCCAGAATCACCTACACCCAGCCCCTGGCGCCTTCTCTGGGTGGCCTGGAGAGCAGCGCTAGGGTGGGGTGCAGACGGAGGTAGGGGGCTCTATCCGAGCAGAAGGGGGTACTGGGTCGAGCTGGGGAAACTGCGCCTGCAACGCTGGCAGGGGTGCTGCTCCATGGTTGAGCAGGGTGACACACCCCACCCCAGGGCCTCCAATACTCGCCTTCCCAAGCTGAGACCCTGGGTCAGCTTCTGGGGGCATGTTCTTTCTAGGGCTTGTGTCTTTGCTTGAAAATGTTGGTGCATCTGAAACCTTGACATGGAAACAATACACTGGAGGGGGACTTCCTCCTGAGAGACAAAATGAGGTCAGTCTGTGCAGTAGAGGGACATGTGAGTGTGAGCTCTCAGACATGAGACCCACAGATGCCTGAAGCCTAAGTCCTACAGATAATACTGAATCCTACATGCACTTTCCCCTTTCTTTACATGCCTATGATTGTCCTTCTATAAAACCTCAAAGTCCTTGTCGGCACCTGAAGACAGCATAAGGGCAGGGTTTCCTTGTCTTCCTGGCGTAGCTGCACTGGTCAAAGTTCCTTTCCTGCTCTGCATCATGACCTTTTCTGTTTGATTTTGGGGCAAACACCTGACCAGACCTGTGGGATCCCCAGAGTCAGGTCTCTGCACAAGACTTCCTAACAGTCGAAGTAGAACATCTACACTAAGCACAAGGCACCCATTTTATTTCCACCGCACATTGCTGCCCTGGAGGATTGCCTTCCTTCCTCCCCCACCCTCTCTGCTGGGGATGGGACCCTGAGCATCAGAGCCAACCCCAATGGCTTCCTTTCACAGCTCAGGCTGCCTCCTCAAAGCCACAGAGGCCGGGAGGTGATGAGAATTACTAAAATAGTTTTCAAATTGTTCTCATTTTTAGATATTATGTATGGGTCATGCATATGATATCTTTGAATAGTGCTTCAGAAATTTGGAGACTGTGTCTTTCTAAGTTGCTTGAGGTCGCATCAGCTGAAAAACACAATATATATGTTATATAGTTCTTTCTTTTTCTTTGAGGTACTGGGGAATAAACCCAGTGGGGCTTGACCTGGACCTCTGAGCTACATCCCACCCTTTTCCTTTTATTTTAAGAGAGGGTCTCTCTGACCTTGGGCTCCTCCAGCCCCAGCCTCCCTGAGAAGCTGTGCTTTGTTTTTGTGTTGAGGTTAAACCCAGGGCCTCGCCATGCTGGGAAAGCACTCTATGGCTGAAGCCTAGCTCAGCGCCAGGTGTCACCTCTGTCCCAGAGGCAAAGCCAAGGCTTCCCACCTGGATTAGTTCCCAGCACAGCCTGGAAGCTCCGCCCGAGAAGGGCTGGAGCCAGGAATCTGTCACTCTACCCAATTTCAGCCAGTGATTGGATGATGTCAGCTGTCAGTCACGATGCAGAGGCGGGCCTGGAGGCCATCCATTTAGGACGCTGGAGGAACTGTCCAATCAGTGCGCAGAGGAAGAGGGAGGGCGGGCTTCCGCAATCTCGCGGGCTTTTCTTCCTCACCAAATGGGCTACTCCTTCTCTTGCGCCTGAGTTCTCTCCTCAGGGACCCCATGTGACTCTCGCTCCCTTGAACCCCGCAATCTCGGGTGACTGGAGGTTCCACAGAGGACCCCAGGTCACCACGGAAGCCAAAAATGGTGAGTTTGCCGCCAGGGCTGAAGGTGCGCAGTCAGCACCTTCCTTGGGGCTTGCATGCAGGTGAGCTGCTGATCGCGGTAGAGTCCCCGCTGGCGGGTGGCCCTGGGCCCTGTCCCCTGGTTCCCTGGGTTTGGAAGGGCGGCTCAGGTCCCTGGTGTCCCCTTTGCTCCCTGCTGGTGGCCCGACCCACTCTTCCCAACGTGGAGGAACCAGGGCCACAAATGCACCTTCCTCCTCCCAGGGGAGCTCCTCCGGAGGCTGCTGTAGGTCCCCCAAATTGCAGGCGCCTCCTGCCTTCTAAACCCACCTTCCCTCCACCTCACAGCTCGGCCAGACGTTGGTTCTTCGCACTCGGTCCTAATGGACACCGTCTGCTAATTGTCACTTTTCATCTAGTGAAAAATTTGAAATAATCTTCCTCCCTCCCTCCCCAGCCATAACTTGTGATCCTCCTGCTTCAGCCTCCCACGTATCTGGAATGACAGGCCTGTGCCACTGTCCCTGGCAAGAAGGACACTTTTGAAAGCATTTGTTTTCTATTTGTGAATATTATACTTGAGGGGAAAGAATAATCACTTAACACTTCCTTGTGTTTGCTCAAAATAACTGCTTTAAAAGGAATAAAGTCGTTGTTTATAGATCTCAGGGATATGGAATCCTGGGCTCCATCAATAGAGGATAACTGCTCCCTTTTCTGATAGTCCATGATGTAGAGTCACCCCAGTCGTGTAGTCACATAAGCACACAGGGAAATGATGATGTAGGGACAAAGGAGGCAAGGCACTGAAGATAGCCAGAAACAGTTTTATCTGGCTGCAGCCAGTCTCAGAGGGCACAGCTTTTGCTGTAATCAATCAATCAATCTCCTGAACCCTGACTTCAGGTGGTTTTAGGATTTTATACTCATCAGAGTAGTGCCCCTGCCTTCAGTTGGCTCCATATTTAAGCACAAAAGGGACATTTGGGGTTCAGGCAATGCAAGCAAGGCTGAAAGCTGCAGTCAGTCAGTCTCCAGTTGGCACCATAGATCATTCTGTGTTCTTCGGGGATTTTCATGAATAAAAGAATGCAAACTGCCCCTGTCATGACATTTTTGTGTGTCATGGCTGAGTTCACAAAATGGAGTCACCATAGTCAAGTTCTCACATCACACACATAAAAGCAGCTTTTTTCTTTCTCTGTTCTGACAAAGATAACCCTTCAAGGACAGCACCTGAGAAGGGGAGAGCTTCTTCTCCCCTTTCTTTCCTCCCCCACCAGCTGTTTCCATGAAGCCTAGTTGGTAAGTTCTCTGTGAAGCCCAGCTCAAAGCCAGAGGCCTTGTTTGCACATTTCTACAAACTACTATACTGGATACAAGTGTGTAAAAAACTAGTAAGGGGAGTTCGAGTCCAGCACTTGGAGTGCTAATTTCTCTCAGACTAGTGGCCCAGTAAAATAGGGCAACATAAAAATAGGAACTTTGTCTACACTGAACTTTTTTGTGGACACTCTTTTGTTGACAGTCCTAAAATTAGCCATGGTGAAGATTTCTGGAGAAATCCAGTTAAAATTTTCTGTGAAAAAAGGGGATGCCACTACAATAATGTCTGATTCATTTACTGTCTTTCATCCCCAGCTCTTTTCGATATGATTTTCAGAAAGGATCTGGGTATTTTTCCCAGCCTGGCCTGAAAGTTGTGATCCTCCTGCCTCAGCTTCCAAAGCTGTTTGGATTAAAGGCATTGACAACCCCAGTTACAGAAAATAGTTCATTTTAACCCAAATATTAATGACTATACTAAGGAACATGGATTCAAGATACCCTGAATGATGTGTGTGTTTCTCTCTGGAAGAGATTACATGATTACATAATTTCTTTCTTTGTTTCTTTCATTCATTCATTCTTTCTTTCTTTTTTATTTTCTTCTTTCTTTCTTTCTTTTTTTTTTAATATATTAGGGATTGAACACAGGGACACTTAAACACTGAGCTACATCCCCAGCCCTTTTTATATTGTATTTTCACATATGATCTCACTAAGTTTGTTATGGTCTCACTAAGTTGCTGAGGCTGGCTTTGAATTTAGCAATCCTCCTACCTTAGCCTCTCAAGCTGCTGGGATTACAGTTGTGTGCCACTGTGTCTGGCCTACATGAACTTTTATAAAATAAATTGTGTATCACTGCATTAACCAACTGCATTCATAGGAACATCAGATTGTTGGGGTACAGACAAAAATAAAGAAAATTTCTTCTGTATTTCTGTTATTGCATTCTGAGCTTTGGTAGATTTTGGAGCCATCTGGTAAGGTTAGTGATATATTCTGAGAAATTTTGATATTGTGGTCTGTTACAGAAATTAAGATGATTGGCTATTGAAGGGCTTAAGATAGCCCAAAATTATTTTTGTTCTCCATACAGAACCCTGCCCTTCTACCCTCATGGCGATCTAGTTAGCTAAAGTCAAGTACTCTGAAGGTTCTTTGATTTAGATGCAATGTATAGAGAACTTGAGTTCACAGCTATAAAAATCTTGTGCTTCTCCTTTTATCTTCCTTAGGTGTAGACATCATTTCAGATTTCTTGGGCAGAGTTTCCCTTTGGACACTTCACAGGGTGCCAAGTCCTCAGCCACTATCCTCTCCTGGAGCTGCCACAAAGTGCCCACAGCTGCCCTGTGCCCTGCAGGGTGAACAGAACTTCAGGCCCTGGGTCAGCTCCTCCTAGGGGACAGCCTGAGATGTAGGGTACAGCCTCTCAGGGAAGCTGCTGGGGGCTCTGGGCTGAGGAATCTCCTGGAACAGGCCTCATCTAGACAACTACTTCCCTGGGACCTTGTTTTTCCCAAGCTCTGTTCTCATTATTTGGAGACAGGTGGACAGTCAGCCTGTGGATGCTGGTGCTGAGGGGCCAGGTCAGCAGTAACTCTGGCTGTTTTAGTCTCTCACAGTGTGAAGGAGCAAAACCTCTCCCAGAGCATAAGGACTACCCACCCCAGTTCAGAGTTGTGCAAACTGAAAAGCCTCATAGACTGGTGTCATTTCCAGGTCCCTTGGACAGTGATCCTGGAGGCTTTCAGGGAGCAAGACCAGGAGTGAGTATGTCCCTGCTGTCAGGGACCTTTTCTGCCCCTTGAGCCTGACACATGTGTGCTCCCTCAGTACCAAAGCTTTCTGTGTATCACTTTGAAATGATGTGCTCACTTATCTGAGGCTCAGGTTTATTTATTTAGAGCCACATGGGATGGACTGTTATTAAATAGACAAAAAAGAAGTGGATTTTAAAAAGTCTAGTTATATTTCCATTGTTAAACATCCCAACTTACAGCCAGGTACAGTGGTGCTCACCTGTGATTCTTCCTGTTCCAGGGGCTGAGACAGGAGTGTTGCAAATTTGAGGGCAGCCTTAGCAACTTATCCAGGCCTTATGCAATCTGGTGAGACTGCATCTCAAAATAAAATATAGAAATGACTGGATGACTGGGGATGTGGCTTAGTAGTAAAATGTCTCTGGGTTTAATCTTGGGGTACCACCCCCCAAAAAAAGAAAGAAAAGTCCTAATTAACTAATTTATCTTTTGCTACCCCTGAGTATGTATAGAAATTCTGTAAGATTCAATCTTGTCTTTTCAGTTATTTCAAATTGAACTCCAACCATAGATTCCAAAATGCCACGCAAGATACAGAGAAACTCTGTCTTCAATTATTACTGCAGAATTTGAACAGAATTCTATAAAACTAGTGGTGGATAAATTTATGAATGTGATTTCATGAAAACTAGTATCTATCCTTCACAATGTGATGAATTTGACAAAGGATGACAGTTTTTCACTGTTGTTGTCTGGACTTGGCTGGTTCATGTTAACTGTGTGACTTTTTTTGGTATCAGGAATAGAGCCCAGAGGTGCTTAACCACCAGTCCCTTTTAGATTCTTTGTTTTGAGACAGAGTCTTAATACATAGCTGGGGGCCTCAGACTCCTGAACCACTGGGTTACAGGTGTGCACCATCACTCCCGTCTTCATTGTAAATTTTAAGGACAATTTTGGCAATATCTGAAATACCCAATTATGATCATTTAATCATTGAATTTCAGTGAAATAGTAAATGACACTTGTTTTCTGGAAACAAGCAATATGTCTGTCTAAATAAGGGTGCTGATCCCTTCAAGAGCACTCCCACTATATCACCTGATTTCTGTTCCCTCCTAGTTGCCTCCTGCTAGGGCCACCCCTTTGGGAGCTGGCCTTTTAGCTTATGAAATTTGGGTGGAACATGCTCTCTCTGTCCTATACAACATTTTGGCTGATCTTAGATACAGTCTACTATTTCCAATATTTTGAAAAGTATTTTTTGTTGCTGTAGTTAAACACAATACCTATTTATTTATTTATATTTGTGTGGTGCTGAGGATCAAACCTAGGGCCTCTCATGTGCTAGGCAAGCACTCTACTGCTGAGCCAGAATCCCAACCCTACTATTTCCATTTTTAGATGTAGTTTTTCTTAAGTTTACCCCCAAAATACAGTAAACTATGCCCTAAATTTCACAGAATTTTCTGAAATTCTCAGTGCTTTTTCAGAGAATGTTGATCATGGGAACATTCAATCCCCTTTGTGAGAAAGTGTGTTGTCTTTCCATTGATTTTGTTGTATTTTATGCCTCTGATTGTGTACCTTTTGTATTATAATAATTTTTATTTCTCGTTACATGTATTTTTTTTTGTGTGTGTGTGTGTGTGGACTAATGGAGATTGATCCGAGGGAGGGCCACATACATGCTTGGCAAGTTTTCTACTACCGAGCTACACTCCAGTCCAAGAGAATTAGTATTATAGACTGTTGTTTATTTATTTGCTTACTTATTGAGTGCTGGGGATTGATGCCATGGACTTGTTCATGCTTAATTATCCTCCAGAAATGAATTTCTATTAGTGAGCAGCGTTCTGGCTGTGGGCAAATGTTTTACTGGGGAGTAAACATACAGGCACTTGACCACTGAGCAAATTCTCAGCCCTTCTTCTTATTTATTTATTATTTCTTTTTCTTTTCTTTTTTTATATTTTGTATAGATGGAGATAGACAGAATACATTTATTTTGTTTGTTTATTTTTCTGTGGTGCTGAGGATCATATCCAGTACCTCAAACATGCTAGCAAGTGCTCTGCTACTCAACTACAATCCCAGACCCCCTTTTAATTTTTGATGAAGACCAGTCTCACTAAATTTCTGAGTATCTTGCTACATTGCTGAGACTGGCCTCCAACTTGTCATTTCCCTGCCTTGACCTCCGTAGTGGCTGAAATTACAGGTGCACACCATCCCACCAGCAGTTGGAATGACTTTTTAAAAAAATATTTAATTTTTATTTGTAGTTGGACACAATACCTTTATTTTAGTTATTCATTTTATGTGGTGCTGAGGATTGAACCCAGGATCTTAAAAGTGCGAGTTGAGTGCTCTAGTGCTGAGCCACAACCCCAGCCCCTGGAATGACTTTTAAGACTTATCATCCAGGGGCTGGGGATGTGGCTCAAGCGGTAAGGCGCTCGCCTGGCATGCGTGTGGCCCGGGTTCGATCCTCAGCACCACATACCAACAAAGATGTTGTGTCCGCCAAGAACTAAAAAATAAATATTAAAAATTCTCTCTCTCTCAAAAAAAAAAAAAAAACTTATCATCCAATTTATTTCCAGATGAAAATAGTATTGAAAATCAGTTTCCTGGGGATGGGGATGTGGCTCAAACGGTAGCACGCTCACCTGGTATGTGTGCGGCCCAGGTTCGATCCTCAGCACCACATACAAACAAAGATATTGTGTCTGCCGAAAACTAAAATATAAATATTAAATAAAAAATTCTCTCTCTCTCTCTCTTCTCTCTGTCTCTCTCTAAAAAAAATCAGTTTTCTTCCATAGTTTTGAAATTTGTACCTATGACTCTTCCTCTTTGCTTTATTTTTGCATTATTATGAAAATGGTATTTAGCATATATTATTTTTATGTATATATTTGTAAAACTTCATGGCTTGGTAGATTATTTACTTCTTTATTAGATAAACTTTGTTTTTATGAGCAATATTAGGCTTACATACTTTATTAGTCAGTGTTCTCTAGAGGAACAGTATTAAGAGGAAGTATGATTATCAAAGGGGATTCATTAGATTGGCCAACTTGACCTGAAGCTGGATGTCTATAGTGGCCGTCTGCAGCTAGAGAGCTTTAGAAGTAGTAGCTACAGAATCCAAGAGACTGAGGCCTCAGAACAAGAGGGATTAATTGTGCTGCCCTACTCCAGACCAGAGATTCTGGAAACTCCCTGGAGAATCACTGGCAGAGTTCACTTTGGGAGAGTGAAGAAGGCAGACTCTGATATTCTCAGGCCATTGCAGTAGCATTTAAGAAACCATTGAGAAAAAAGGAGCATGCTCTGCTGGTGCTTCCTTCTTCTTCCAACTTTTGTTCCACCCAAGACACCGTCCTATTGGATGGTGCTACCTAGCTTAAGGAGGTTCTCCAGTCTGGTTCACTGTTCCACATGACAATCATTTGTAGACACACCCTCATGGACACACCGAGAAGCTCATTAATCATCAGTATCTTTAATCCAATTAAGATGACAATTAAATGTGCCATTACTCATAGTATCAAATACCCCTTCTCTCCAGTCATTAGTCTCCACTGTTTTCAACATATTGCATTGTTGTAGGGTGTTTGTTAATTACTAAACCAGTGTTGAACATTTGATAAGGAAAATGGATGAAGCAACACGTTATGATAAGCCAAAGTTCATCCTTTACCTTAGGCTTCCTCGTCTGTGTGATGTGATTTTGTGTGTCACGTAGTTTACAAGATAATGTCATACAGAAGAGTTTCACTGCTCTGGGAATCCTGTGTTCCCCCTCTTCATCACTCCTCCTCATTGCTCCTTCCCTCTCTGCTCCCTAAGTCTCTGGTACCCATCAGTTCTGCTACTGCATCTATAATGTTGTCTCTTAAGGAATGTTCTTGAGTTGAAATCTTACTGCACATGGCCATTTCGGTCTGGCTTCTCTCACTTACAGGTCTGCCTGTAAGGGTGCTATATCTTTCCAGGCTGCAGAGCTCATTTTCTGGGTGATGTTCTTTGATGTGGATAAACTGCAGCTTGTCCATTCAGTATTGAAAGGTGCATCTTCCTTGCATCTAGCTTTGGGCAGTTTTGGATATGGCTGCTGTAGTCACTGCAGTGAGGGTTCCTGTGCCCATAATTTTCACATCATTTGCATAGACACCTGAAGTGGGATGGCTTGATTGTACAGTTTTTTGCATTTATGATTAAATTTTGCATCTATGATTATGAGCATCATTCATAATTTTCTATTTAATAATTTTCTTTATCTTCTTAATTTGGATAATATAGTAACGTATGCCTCAGAAGGAATTAGAAGGTGTTAACTCAGCTTCTATGTTCTAGAAAAAAATGTAGAAAATTGGTTGCAGTTCTTAAGTGTCTCATGGAAGCCTGTTTGAGATGTCAGAGCCTTGCCTTGCCTTTCTGGGTAGTAATTAGTTATTCAGTCTGTTTTTTTGAGCTGCCATGGGCTCATCTGTTTTGTGTAATCTCTCTGAAAGAAGTGGTCCAGTTTCTGCAAGTTTCTAATTTGTATCAAGCACGTTTATGATAATCTTGAAGTCCCAGTGCATTATTGATGATGACATTTTAAAATGTGTTAGATGGTGATGTTTATGAAAAACTTGATTTTGCAAACTGCGAATGTCCTGATTGTGGTTTCATCAACACCTTTTCTGTTATCTTCCTGTGGTTAATTTAGGTTTACCTTGCTTTTCTTTCTGTTTTCTTGAAACAAGAGTTTCAATGATTGCTTTTAGCTCCTTTTCTGAAATGTGCATTGGATGACTTAGATATCAATACAGCACCACCTCTAAAGTATTCTCTATAAATTTCCTTTGATGGACTTTTACATTTTTTTTCCTTCAAAATGGTCACCTCTTCTCTTGAGTCACCTCTTTGTCCTGTGTCTGTTTAGAGTCTTGTGTTTCATGTCCCCTTCCCTGGAGGCTTTTCAGCTGCTTCTGATCTGATTTCTGCTTTAGCTCTCATGTTCTTTGAGCATACATGCGATTTCACTGGTGGTGCACTTGTAGGGGTGTGGTTTATGTCCTGTGCAGTGTTGCTGTGACCCTGAGACCTCAGTGTGCTTCCCCTTTGGTTAAAGGCTCATGAAGCCCTCCTGCCTGCATCATTGTCCTGACAGAGTTGAGCTGATGTCTCTGAGTGTAATTGTGGATTCTTCATTGTTTTGGGTGGTTCTTTATGTTTTCAGTCCTTGAGTATGGTTCTGTGTCAGTGGCAGGGACATTTTCTTTTTGCCTGTTCCATCACTGTGCAGACATCTTAGCATGCTTATAGATGTGAATGGTGGCCTGTTTCACACCCAGATTGTGTGGGATAGTTCAGGAATCTGGGCTACAAACTTGTTGCTTTAGCACACTCTGGAAGACTTTCTGCCTTAAGTTTGTTTGCACCACCATTGCTGCAGGCACGATGAATCTCTTTCACAACAGACAACCATTGCACATGTGGCCCAATGTTGATCAAAATGTCCTTGAGCAGAACATTGATATGTCTCTCATGACTGTACATTATGGTAGTGAACTGGCTGCTGTTAAGAAGAGTTTGACAGACTTTAGATATTCATTGTTCCCATGAGACTTACAAAAGTAGTGCCTGCTGTTTATTAAGAATATTATTTTGAGAGTTATTGTAAGGCTGTTGTTTGGACAAGATGACATTTTTGGGTCATTGAGTTATTTCTAAGACATGTGCCATTTTTCACTTACCCCATTCTGGTTTGACAGTAACCACAGGAAATTATAAAATTATTGTGTTTATTAATAAATTAAATTAATCAAATGGAGAACTCATGTTTGTTTTGGTGATTTAATAATAAGCTAGTTGACTAAATTTGTTCTGGAGTAAATCACCTGCAAACTTCTAATTGTTCTCAGTGTAATCACACAGGATGAGCTCTATCTCCAGCTAATGCATTGTGACAACCTGTGTGAAAGGTTGTCTAAATGTTGTCTAGGAAAGAATCTCCTTAGTGACCCCATGCCCAGAGGGTGTGGGTTAGGGGGTGTTCTAGGCATTTCTTTAAGTATGGAGAAATAGACTTTCAGAGGAAACAAGACATCAGTATTGTCATGTTGTCTATATTAACTTTATAGGTACAGGGAGCCAATGTAGTTGGCAGAATCTCTCTCAAATGCCTAGTTTTATGATTCCTGCAATTTCCTTCTCATCACCTTTCTTTTCTTAAGATAAGTACTATCAGAAGTCCTTATATTAGCTCTGTACCACACAGAACATTTTTAGGACATGTAATAGAGGTGCAACCAATAAAGAAGTTAGGAGTGATCTGGGAGCCTGTCTTACTTCCTGTGAACTCACCAAAGAAAGGGTATAAATCACTATGATGTTTGCCTTTTGAGTAGTGAATTTCTAGTGTTGGAAGAAGTTGAGTACAGAAAAGATTTGATGGACCAAATCATGGAATTAATCGAGAGGCCAGGGAATCATGTGAAAATCATGCATGTTGAGTATAGATTTCTCATGCTGTCAATCTCTCCTGGCCTCCACTATACATTTGGTGGGATATTTTAGATCTCAGTTACCTTTGAGGATGTGGCTGTGAACTTCACCCAGGAGGAGTGGGCTTTGCTGGATTCTTCCCAGAAGAACCTTTACAGAGATGTAATGTTGGAAGTCCTCAGAAACCTGGCTTCTATAGGTAATAATGATGTTTCTAAAATTAGTCAAACAGAGAACTCATGTTATTTTGTTCACTTATGTAGAAGGTTAAAAGGGAATCAGTTGGTGAATTATTGCAGCATAAATGGCACATACGATTTGGCTCCTAAATAATCATAAAGATTGTTCTGTTCTTCCATTTAAGGAAACAAGTGGGAAGACAAGATCACTAAAGATCAGATTGAAAACTCTAGGAGCAATATAAGGTAACTCTACTCACAAGAGGAATTTGTGATGGAATCTGAGAACTGTCATATAATTTTTAAAGCAAACTAACTGAAAAAGTATGCATAATATGAAATGTATTTATTCTTTTTTTTTTAAAGAGAGAGAGAGAGAGAATTTTTTTAATATTTATTTTTTAGTTCTCAGTGGACACAACATCTTTGTTGGTATGTTGTGCTGAGGATCGAACCCGGGCCGCACGCATGCCAGGCGAGTGCGCTACCACTTGAGCCACATCCACAGCCCCGAAATGTATTTATTCTTATAATATTTTTACCAGAAATATATACTTAGCTCTAACAGATATTCAGTCTTTTCAAAGTATTTGACATCCAAAATCTACTATGAAATTGCATATGTGAATATCACAATTTGAATAATAGCCATAGAGAATCTGTATTGCAAAGGATTGTTTCCTTTCAATCTCTTTATTTTCAGGCAAGTTGAACAAGTCAGAAAACCTAGCCTTTACCTGATGTTGGTAGTAATGTAAGGATCTATAAATAAATAGCAAATTGTGAATGAATCAAGCATTGATTATGTGCTGGTCACTTCTTCTTCAAAAAAGTTATATGGTAAACTTCAAAGGCACAAAATAGTGTTGGGGAAACCTTCAAATCGATTCCAATTTTTTTTTTCCCAATTCCAATTCTTAATTGAACAAAAAAAAATTTTAATAGAGTAAATCCATGTGACTTCATTATATGTGCCAAAGAGTTCATATGTCCTTCATTCCTTAATAGGCACATCACATCCCACTCTGGACACAAATACTACAAGCACGAGGAATGTGAAGAGAAGCCATGTGAATTTAAAAAATTTTGGAAATCTCTGGTTTCTCCCATAAGTGTTCACACACAAAAGTTAACACAAACTGGAGATGGACCATATGAAAGTATAATACATGGGAAAGTCATCAGTTGTTCCAGTGACATTCAAAGACATGAAGAAACTCATACTGGGTGGCAACCTGATGAATGTCAACAATATGGTGAAGCCCCTTCTTTTCTCCTAGGTGTTCAAAGTCACACGAGAACACACAGTGAATGTAAACCTTTTCAATGTGAGGTATGTGGGAAAGCCTTTTATTTCTCCTCTTTATTTAGAAGGCATAAAAGAACTTATTCTGGAGAGAAACTCTGTGAATGTAAAAAAGGTGGTCAAACCTTTATTTCACACACAAGTCTTCAAAGGCACAAGATCACACACACGGGGAATGCACGTTTCAAATGTAAGGTATGTGGGAAAGACTGTGCTTATCCCAGTTTATTTAGAATACATCAGAGAACACATACTGGAGAGAAGCCCTATGGATGTAAGCAGTGTGGAAAAGCCTTTGCTAAATCCAGTTATCTTCAAATACATGGAAGAACACATACTGGAGAGAAGCCCTATGAATGTAAGCAGTGTGGCAAAGCCTTTGCTACATCCCATCAGCTTTATAACCATGGAAGTATACATACCAGAGAAAAGCCCTATGAATGTCAACAATGTGGAAAATCTTTTACTACTGCCTCTTGCTTTAAGATACATGAACGAACTCATACTGGAGAGAAGCCCTATGAATGTAAGCAGTGTGGGAAAGCCTTCACTCAGTCCTCTCACCTTCGCTTACATGAACAAACTCATACTGGAGAGAAACCCTATGAATGTAAGCAGTGTGGGAAAGCCTTCACTCAGTCATCTCACCTTCACTCACATGAAAACACTCATATTGGAGAGAAGCCCTATGAATGTAAGCAGTGTGGCAAAGCCTTTAGTATGTCCAGTAACCTTCAGATTCATGGAAGAATACATACTGGAGAGAAGCCCTATAAATGTAAGCAGTGTGGCAAAGCCTTTGCTAAATCTGGTGACCTTCACAGACATGAACGAACTCATACTGGAGAGAAGCCCTATGAGTGTAAGCAGTGTGGCAAAGCCTTCACTCAGTCCTCTCACCTTCACTCCCATGAACAAATTCATACTGGACAGAAGCCCTATGTATGTAAACAGTGTGGCAAAGGCTTTTCTAGATCCAGTGACCTTCAAATACATGGAAGAACACATACTGGAGAGAAGCCCTATGAGTGTAAACATTGTGGCAAAGCCTTTGCTAGATCCAGTGACCTTCACATACATGAAAGAACTCATACTGGAGAGAAGCCCTATGAATGTAAGCAATGTGGCAAAGCATTTGCTCAGTCTGGTCAGCTACACTCACATGAAAAAACTCATACTGGAGAGAAGCCCTATGAATGTAAGCAGTGTGGCAAAGCCTTTGCTTCATCCCATCAGCTTCACAAACATGGAAGAATACATACCCTATGAATGTCAACAATGGGGAAAAGACTTTGCCACATCCTGTCTATTTCACACATGTGAAATAACACATACTGCAGAGAAATTGTATGCATGAAAACAATTGGTAAACTCTTCTGTTATTTCTGTTTCACTCATATACATGTAAAAAGTTTACTGGAGAAAAATCCTTTGAATATGAAATATGGTAAATCAATATTTCATGTTATCCTCAAACACAAGAAGTGGCTCACACTTCTGGAAATGTGTGTTTGTGTGTGTATGTGTGTGAGAGAGAGGGAGAGACAGAGAGAGAGAGAGACAGAGAGACAGACTGGGGATTTTCTGGTGGTTCTCTACCACTGAGCTACATTCCATTTCTTTATTACATTTTATTTTGAGACAGGGACTTGCTGCATTTCTTAGGGTCTTCCTAAGGTGCTGAGGCTAGCCTCCAACATTGATCCTTCAGAATCAGCCTCTCAAGTCTCAGGGATTAAAGGCATACACCACCACATTGGACTCAATAACTCTTTAAATGTGAAAAATATCACGAATCATTCCATTTTCCCTTTTGCCTTCAAAACCATTTCACTCACATTGAAAAACAAACCTTATGAATGTGGGGGATTTGCTACATTTTGCAAGCTTCCCATTCAGCCCTGTTTTCCTTCTCATGTATGAAAACACTCACAGAGAGAAGCCCTGTGAGTGTGAGAAATCTGGGAAATCTAGTTTTCTAAGTATTTCACTAAGGACTGGGATGATTCTTTTGGAATAAAAAGAATAAATCCTATGCAAATAAGACATATAAAGGTTTCAGCTGTTCTAGTTTTGTTCAGTTGTATGAAAGGACTCATACTGTAGAAAATGCTGAGGATAAGCCATGTGGGGCAGTATTCAACTTTTAGAGTTTTCTTCAAAGGTGTAAACAATTCACATCTGAGAAGATCCTTTTTCTCTCTTTAAAAATTGTAGTAAGACTTTCAACTTTCCAGGTCCCTTTGAACAGCATTTAAGAAATCACAGTAGAGAAAAGCCCTGTATGTAGAAATGTGGTAGGACCTTTGCTTGTTTTACATCCATTTGAACTTGTTCAGACTTGAGTAAATTTTCATTTTATTTATTTATTTTGAGACAACCACTGTAGGTGTGAGAAAAACTGTGTGCCTTCATTTCTTTTTTTATCTATTCAGAGGTAACAAAAATGCACCCTGGGTTGGAGAGGAGCATTGCATCAACATGAAGATTTGAAAGCAACATGTTTTTCTGGGTTAAATCTCTTTGATTGTTAGATTCCATTTTCATGTGTTTTAAGTCTTTTCTTGTCTAATATTTCATTACATATTGTGAATGTTAGTTTAAGCCTCTCTACTGCAGCCTTTGGTACAGACTGGTGAAATGTCTCTTCTGAACTTTTTTCCTCTTTTTCTTTATTCACATTTCACCCAGGAGTGCTCTACCGCTGAGTTTCTCCACAGTCTTTTTAATTGTTATTTTGTGAGATGAGGTGAGGCTGGGAGCTGGAACCATAGAGATGTATCTGTGTACCCTGCAGCTGGCCTCTTTCTTGTCCTTGATTTCTTATTCATCTGTTGATGACTCTGGGACCCCACTCTTGTCACTTATGCTTGTTCTAAGTCTCATGTGTTGCATTGTATGTAGACACATTAAAGAGCATTGAAAAATAATGTCATTTGTGTATATTATTTGGAGAGGCACTTTCTCAAAATATATTTTGCCCTATATTTGAGTTGCTTTCTCTTTTATTTTCCCAGTTCTGGGGACCCAATCCTGCCTTATGCATGCTAGGCATTCTAGCATCGAGCACTCCTGTAGCTCAGGTAGTGAGTTTGCTGCTGCTGTGTGTGTGGACCACACTGATGACCACATCAACAGATGCAGCTCTGCAGGTGTTTCCTCCACAATTGCAGATGGTCTCTTTCTTCTGAAAGGACTTTTTTACCAGTGAATTTTTTTTAAAAAAAAACTACATCCAACTTAGCTTTTCTTCCCATGAATAATACTTAGGTGGAATATTCCAGAAAACCTCTGCCAGAACAGTACTAACTCCAGAGATGGGAGTTCAAATCATTCTCACAGGGGTAAAAGGACCTCTTCCCAAAGGAACAGTAGGCTTATTATTGGGATGCAGTTCTTCTACTCCAAAAGGACTTATGATAAGTCCTGGGGTAATTGATCCCAATTATGAAGGTGAAATAAAAATTATAACCACTTCTCCAAAGAGTATATCAGTAATTTCACCAGGAGATAGAATAGCACAATTATTAATAATACCCAGCCTACATGATAAATTTTCCAGTCGTACTATAGAAAGAGGTTCCCAGGGATTAGGCTCCATGGTTGTAGATTGGGCTATACTTTTTTTAAATTTAGATTCTCGTCCCATGATAAACTAAATATTCAAGGACGTGAATTTAATGGGCTACTGGATACAGGTGCAGATCTTAGCATGATCTCTCATCAAGAATGGCCAAAACATTGGCCATTACAACAAGCCACTCAAATGCTTCGAGGCCTAGGAGTGGCAACTAATCCCCATAGAAGTGTGATGGTATTAGATTGGAAGGATCCTGAAGGATGTAAGGGAACTATACAGCCATATGTATTGGATCATCTTCCTATAAATTTATGGGGATGACATGTCCTTCATCAATTAGGACTAACATTAACAACATTAATTCAAATGCATCCACTATTTTGGCTAGACAAGGTTTTAGGAAAGGAAAAGTATTGGAAGAAAAAGGACAAAGTATAGTGGCACCAATACAAATAGATGAAGAAATAGATAGACAAGGATTGGGTTTTCAGGAGGGGTCACTGAGACAATAAAAATTACTTGGAAATCAGAAAGCCCAGTATGGGTTCCTCAGTGGCCCCTGACTAAAGAAAAGTAACAAGCAGCCATGACTTGGTCAAACAACAATTAGTGGAGGGACATATACAACCTTCTGTATCTCCCCATAATACTCCCATTTTTGTCATCAAAAAGAAATCTGGTAAATGGAGATTACTGCAAGATTTAAGAGCCATTAATAATGAGATAGTTATTATGGGACCTGCTCAATCAGAGATTCCACAATTGTCTGCTTTGCCAAAAACCTGGTATGTTTTAGTTATAAATATTAAAGATTGTTTTTTTTTTAATTCCTATTCATCCTGAGGAGAGTTCACGTTTTTCATTTACTATCCCTGCATTGAATCATGAAGGTCCTCATCAGAGATATGCATGGAAAGTACTCCCTCAAGGGATGGCTAACAGCTCAACTATGTGTCAAATTTATGTTAACGGAGTAATCCAGCCACTTAGAAATCAAAATCCTGAACTACAAACATTTCACTATATGGATGATGTATTATTAGCACACAAAGATAAAAACACATTGCTAAAATTTTATGCCATACTTACAAACTTATTAAAAATTATAATCTAGAGATAGCAATAGATAAAGTACAATTAAATTTTCCAATTAATTATTTAGGAGTTCTATTATCCTCAACCATGGTCCATCCACCAAAAATTCAAATATGAGTAGATCAACTCAAATCACTTAACGACTTTCAAAAGTTATTAGGAGACATAAAAATTCAGACCGGAGGAGGAAGACGCCCAGCGTGCACCAAGCCAGACCGGAGGAGGAAGACGCCCGGCGCCAAGGCAGACCGGAGGAGGAAGTCTGGCCCCGCCCCGAGTGCTAGTCGGGAGGAAGCCCATCAACCCTTAAAACCCATCAAAGGGGGTGTGGCTAACAGCATGGTCCTACGACTGATCCAGGTACCCGGTTTCCAACTCCCCCACCCTTAGCTGTGATAACTCAAAATATTTCCCACAAGTTTTGGGGGGTTGTAGCTATCAATGCAAAACAACAACTGTACAGGCACCTGGTTTCTACCTCAGAGACTAGAGCAGGGAAGATACAGGTGGAAGCTCATTTCCTTTCACACTGGCTACATCCACCACCCTGAACACAGAGGCTCAAGCTAGGAATAGACAACGCCACCTACTGGAAGCAAGGGAAACAGTGTTCTGAGAGACTTTTTTTTTCTTACTTTCTCTCTTCTCTCTCTTCAATAGCTTCAGCATATGTGAAACCAAGAACTGTGCATGAACAACTGAATTACCAAAGTAATATAATATAGAGGAATTGCATATACCCCAACTTCCCCCCATTTTTTTCTTTATTTCTATCTTACTTTCCTTTTCCTTCTCTTAATTCTCTTTTCTTCCTTGTTATTTTTTTTCTTTTTTTATTCGTATTCTCTCTATCCCACTTTCAATCTCCTAACCTTTGCTATCTATACATAAGGTAACTATCTAAATACAGATAGGAGGTTGAGTCTATACATTCTTCCAGAAATTACCAGTCTATTGGTTAGAGTTCTCCAAAGGTGCTAAGTTAGTTTAACCTCATACCCTCACTCCTTTTCCTCTAAGTATAACATCCTTCATCTGAAATTAAGTTTTCTATATGCCACCAGATATGGTATGCCTTTTATGAAACTAATGAATATATTCTTAAGCAATAATTAAAACCAATATCTATAGTCTTAGATTCTAACTATAAATGTATTAATAATAAAAACTTGTGCTTAGATAATATACTGTTGATATTGGGAACTGTTAACATTGTCTTTCTCC